AGCGGAAGCGCTAACGGAACAACCTCCCGCTGCAGGCACCTTACATTCCCGAGACGGGAAACCACCGACGGCTGGCTGCGAAATTGCCTCTGGTTCAGATTGGTTTAGAACCGTCCCTCTGCCCAAAACGCCACAGACGTCTGCAAAAGATTGCAGTTCTTGAAACAAAGTTACCTCTGATCCGAGCAGAAGCGTTCGCTTACTTAATGGCAGATAAAATGATGACCTTTCACACGGTCTGCATTCGTTCCGCCAGTAACAGCGGCAGGCCGGCAAATAAAATCCTGACGTTCCACAGGGCACACTCGCTTGGCGGACAAAAGCCACCGGGGGCTCTCTTTGCGTGTTCCTTCACCTGGTCAAACCGCTTTGAGGGGGGACCTTTCGAGTAGTTTTCGGCGTCTGAACAGACTCTTCTAGCGACGGGTGGGCAGGCCTTCCACAGGCGCGCGCAGCTCTACTGGAGCAAAAGAGGCTTGGCAAAGGACGAGGAAGAGAGGGAAGCGACGCTCCAGCCGGGTCCGGCGCTACCGCCTGAACTCTGTCTTGAACCGCTGTGCTCAGGGGAGAGCGCGAACGCAGTCCCCCACTACCAGAAATTATGCCGTCGAGATTCCCACATTTGGGGAATTCGCAGGGGTCAGCGTGGCCGGAGCGCAATGGCCAAGCCTCGCCCTGGGTGAACCACCTTCTTGATCATGGTATCTCCCCTGCCAGGTAAGTATGAGTTGCCGGGCGGCGCAAATGGCGGCCGCCGTTTTCTATCGGTCGTACTCCAGGGCGGTGATGCCCAGCCACCGAGCATGGGGAATGGGCCAGCAACCCCTGTCTCCTGACGGCGCTGTACTTGCAGCAGACGTGCCTGTGCTTGCAAACCACCAGCTAGTAACTGTGGCAACGCATGAAGGGTTTGAGCTTCCTCCAGATGCTTGCTTCGTGTTTGGTCATCAGTTGGGGCTGCCAACACATGGATTCCACTGGACGCCCTCGATCTGGGGATAACAGACCCTCTATGGGGGGAGGGGATCCTCCTGTTCTTTCTTTCTTTTCCTCCATCTGTTTTCTTTCTCTACAGATGCCGCTTTTCTCTGCTTAGTTTCTGATTTGGTCTATTTGGACATGTCGACCTCCGGCTTTGCTGCGGTTCGGACCGCCTTTGCCTAGAGCTCCGTGCTTTGCACTCTCGCCTTGTATATTTCGTGTCCTGTTTTCTTACGTCAGCCTATCAGCACAGTGCTCAAACGACATAGCTTGAAGAACACGACGGGATCTACAAACGTTCCGCAAAAGAACTTCACTGACGAAAGCGGAAGCGCTAACGGAACAACCTCCCGCTGCAGGCACCTTACATTCCCGAGACGGGAAACCACCGACGGCTGGCTGCGAAATTGCCTCTGGTTCAGATTGGTTTAGAACCGTCCCTCTGCCCAAAACGCCACAGACGTCTGCAAAAGATTGCAGTTCTTGAAACAAAGTTACCTCTGATCCGAGCAGAAGCGTTCGCTTACTTAATGGCAGATAAAATGATGACCTTTCACACGGTCTGCATTCGTTCCGCCAGTAACAGCGGCAGGCCGGCAAATAAAATCCTGACGTTCCACAGGGCACACTCGCTTGGCGGACAAAAGCCACCGGGGGCTCTCTTTGCGTGTTCCTTCACCTGGTCAAACCGCTTTGAGGGGGGACCTTTCGAGTAGTTTTCGGCGTCTGAACAGACTCTTCTAGCGACGGGTGGGCAGGCCTTCCACAGGCGCGCGCAGCTCTACTGGAGCAAAAGAGGCTTGGCAAAGGACGAGGAAGAGAGGGAAGCGACGCTCCAGCCGGGTCCGGCGCTACCGCCTGAACTCTGTCTTGAACCGCTGTGCTCAGGGGAGAGCGCGAACGCAGTCCCCCACTACCAGAAATTATGCAGTCGAGATTCCCACATTTGGGGAATTCGCAGGGGTCAGCGTGGCCGGAGTGCAATGGCCAAGCCTCGCCCTGGGTGAACCACCTTCTTGATCATGGTATCTCCCCTGCCAGGTAAGTATGAGTTGCCGGGCGGCGCAAATGGCGGCCGCCGTTTTCTATCGGTCGTACTCCAGGGCGGTGATGCCCAGCCACCGAGCATGGGGAATGGGCCAGCAACCCCTGTCTCCTGACGGCGCTGTACTTGCAGCAGACGTGCCTGTGCTTGCAAACCACCAGCTAGTAACTGTGGCAACGCATGAAGGGTTTGAGCTTCCTCCAGATGCTTGCTTCGTGTTTGGTCATCAGTTGGGGCTGCCAACACATGGATTCCACTGGACGCCCTCGATCTGGGGATAACAGACCCTCTATGGGGGGAGGGGATCCTCCTGTTCTTTCTTTCTTTTCCTCCATCTGTTTTCTTTCTCTACAGATGCCGCTTTTCTCTGCTTAGTTTCTGATTTGGTCTATTTGGACATGTCGACCTCCGGCTTTGCTGCGGTTCGGACCGCCTTTGCCTAGAGCTCCGTGCTTTGCACTCTCGCCTTGTATATTTCGTGTCCTGTTTTCTTACGTCAGCCTATCAGCACAGTGCTCAAACGACATAGCTTGAAGAACACGACGGGATCTACAAACGTTCCGCAAAAGAACTTCACTGACGAAAGCGGAAGCGCTAACGGAACAACCTCCCGCTGCAGGCACCTTACATTCCCGAGACGGGAAACCACCGACGGCTGGCTGCGAAATTGCCTCTGGTTCAGATTGGTTTAGAACCGTCCCTCTGCCCAAAACGCCACAGACGTCTGCAAAAGATTGCAGTTCTTGAAACAAAGTTACCTCTGATCCGAGCAGAAGCGTTCGCTTACTTAATGGCAGATAAAATGATGACCTTTCACACGGTCTGCATTCGTTCCGCCAGTAACAGCGGCAGGCCGGCAAATAAAATCCTGACGTTCCACAGGGCACACTCGCTTGGCGGACAAAAGCCACCGGGGGCTCTCTTTGCGTGTTCCTTCACCTGGTCAAACCGCTTTGAGGGGGGACCTTTCGAGTAGTTTTCGGCGTCTGAACAGACTCTTCTAGCGACGGGTGGGCAGGCCTTCCACAGGCGCGCGCAGCTCTACTGGAGCAAAAGAGGCTTGGCAAAGGACGAGGAAGAGAGGGAAGCGACGCTCCAGCCGGGTCCGGCGCTACCGCCTGAACTCTGTCTTGAACCGCTGTGCTCAGGGGAGAGCGCGAACGCAGTCCCCCACTACCAGAAATTATGCCGTCGAGATTCCCACATTTGGGGAATTCGCAGGGGTCAGCGTGGCCGGAGCGCAATGGCCAAGCCTCGCCCTGGGTGAACCACCTTCTTGATCATGGTATCTCCCCTGCCAGGTAAGTATGAGTTGCCGGGCGGCGCAAATGGCGGCCGCCGTTTTCTATCGGTCGTACTCCAGGGCGGTGATGCCCAGCCACCGAGCATGGGGAATGGGCCAGCAACCCCTGTCTCCTGACGGCGCTGTACTTGCAGCAGACGTGCCTGTGCTTGCAAACCACCAGCTAGTAACTGTGGCAACGCATGAAGGGTTTGAGCTTCCTCCAGATGCTTGCTTCGTGTTTGGTCATCAGTTGGGGCTGCCAACACATGGATTCCACTGGACGCCCTCGATCTGGGGATAACAGACCCTCTATGGGGGGAGGGGATCCTCCTGTTCTTTCTTTCTTTTCCTCCATCTGTTTTCTTTCTCTACAGATGCCGCTTTTCTCTGCTTAGTTTCTGATTTGGTCTATTTGGACATGTCGACCTCCGGCTTTGCTGCGGTTCGGACCGCCTTTGCCTAGAGCTCCGTGCTTTGCACTCTCGCCTTGTATATTTCGTGTCCTGTTTTCTTACGTCAGCCTATCAGCACAGTGCTCAAACGACATAGCTTGAAGAACACGACGGGATCTACAAACGTTCCGCAAAAGAACTTCACTGACGAAAGCGGAAGCGCTAACGGAACAACCTCCCGCTGCAGGCACCTTACATTCCCGAGACGGGAAACCACCGACGGCTGGCTGCGAAATTGCCTCTGGTTCAGATTGGTTTAGAACCGTCCCTCTGCCCAAAACGCCACAGACGTCTGCAAAAGATTGCAGTTCTTGAAACAAAGTTACCTCTGATCCGAGCAGAAGCGTTCGCTTACTTAATGGCAGATAAAATGATGACCTTTCACACGGTCTGCATTCGTTCCGCCAGTAACAGCGGCAGGCCGGCAAATAAAATCCTGACGTTCCACAGGGCACACTCGCTTGGCGGACAAAAGCCACCGGGGGCTCTCTTTGCGTGTTCCTTCACCTGGTCAAACCGCTTTGAGGGGGGACCTTTCGAGTAGTTTTCGGCGTCTGAACAGACTCTTCTAGCGACGGGTGGGCAGGCCTTCCACAGGCGCGCGCAGCTCTACTGGAGCAAAAGAGGCTTGGCAAAGGACGAGGAAGAGAGGGAAGCGACGCTCCAGCCGGGTCCGGCGCTACCGCCTGAACTCTGTCTTGAACCGCTGTGCTCAGGGGAGAGCGCGAACGCAGTCCCCCACTACCAGAAATTATGCAGTCGAGATTCCCACATTTGGGGAGTTCGCAGACGTCTGCCCACTGAACGTGCAATGTAAACTGTAGACTGTAGACTCTTGTCCAATGAAAAGCCGCGATTGTCTACAGTTTGATTAGACCCTGGGCCAATCGGAGGGCTGCATTGTCTAAAGTTTCAAATCACGGCCAATCAGCGCTGAGGATTTTCTAAAGTTTCTCTCGCTCTGGACGCTCACAATTTATCGGGTCAGAGAGTTCATTTGCTGTCGAGATAAATTCATATGCTGAAGTGATTTCGTGTGGTAAGTTATTTTTATACTGTTATATTGATGCACAGTATGTTTTGGTCAAGGCACGTTTGAAATATCTCACTCTTTGTGCAGTATTCGTGAGGCTGCGCCTTCAAAAAGTACACCTGTCATAGAGATTTTGTGTGATAAGTTATTTTTATACTGTTATATTGATGCACAGTATGTTTTGGTCACATCATGTTTGAAATATTTCACTCTTTGTGCAGCATTTTGTCTGTGTTCGTGAGGCTGCGCCGTCATAAAGTACACCTGTTGTAGTGATTTATAGTGGTAGGTTATTTTTATCCTGTTCTGATAAACAGTATGTTTTGCTCACATCACGTTTGATATATTTTACTGTGTGTGCAGTATTTTGTCTGTGTGTGTGACGCTGCGCCGTCAGACGTTCACCCATTACAGAGATTTTGTGTGGTAAGCTATTTTTATATTGCTAAGATCACATCACGTTTGAAATCTCTCTCTTTGTGCAGTGTTTGGTCTGTGCTGGTGACGCTGTGCCGTCAGAAAGTTCACCTTTCCAAGATATTTCGTGTGGTAAGTTGTTTTTATACTGTGATATTATTTAAATGCATATTTGGCTGCACAAAACCTGAAAAAGTTTAGCTTTTGTATTATTTCGACGATCGCGTCGGTTTGATAGCTCAGTATACACAGATGTTTCATTATAATATAGAAACAAACATGCTGATAAATAAATATCCCTTTATATGTAGCAATATATGTTACCATGGCGATTGTTATCATTAGTTGTAACTATGAGAAGTGAAGAACATCTTAAGATCTTAACTGGGACAAAACATATGACCAATACCTGTATTTGTTATCATAAGAATATAGTAAAATCGTTATTGCCATAGACTGAATAATATATCACTGATTCTCAAGGCCTAGGACAAAAACATATTCAGCAATTACTGCTATAAGCTTTAAAATGAAAATGTGCATACATTAAATATGATTTGTTAAGTTATTTCAATTATTATATGTGTAAATGATATCATATTAATGAGAGTATGTATTTAACATGCTTAGAATGTATTTTACCTTACCTTATATCAGCCATATGGAGGTTGATATTAATAGCTGCCCCTTAAAAAACACAAAATACAACTGTAAGCATTTGAAAAAAATTTATAACAGAGCAATTGATATGATAATTCATGTTTTCATTGCCACTGTCAAATGCATCATCTCTGTCAGCATTGTTAACCCTTGTCAGATAATTTATTTTGATGATATTTCATTTATTTGTTAATTATCAAACATGTAAAAATGAAAAAAAAAAGACTTAACACACAAAATGTTTTTTTTAATACTTTATCATGAGCTCAGAGCTAAGACCATATTCCCTCTCTATATTTGTGATGTTTATAAGAATACTTCTTACAGGTGAATTAGACATGGATCCACTGTTGCCCACCCTGAGCATTGTTGACACCAGTGTGCCACAGGACAGACAACAGTGCTTTCTTAAAGCATCGAAGGACGCCAAGACCCTGGCCTCTCGCAACAGGTGCTTCGAGCGGAACACTAGCCAGGACAAAAAAACTGCTTGTGAGGAAGGTAATATCTGACTTATGCGTTTCTGTCATATGCGTACATTGCAGACTGTTATTTGCATTGATGTTATTTTATGTCTTAGCTAAAAAAAGATGCCAGCAAATTACTTGTGCGCCATCTGAGGTCCAGTATCTCGGCCAGCTCATTCTAAACTTTGGCAAGTACAATGGACAAAGTTTTAAATGGCTGGTGGAGAACGACGTTGGCTACATTAAATAGTAAGTATGTTGCTATACATTTGTATAAGCTGTTTTTACACAAATTAATTATCTTTTTGAAATTTCAGTGTGCTGGATCTACCCATCAAGGAAGAAAAGAGGGCCCAGGTGAGTATATAAAGGATCTTCTGTTACAGTATGTGCAACTGTTTCCACAGGTTTCCTGCCACCTCGAGGTCAACGTCGACAGGGCCATCTACGGTCAGGGCCGCTTCAGATCCTTCACGTTCCTGGAGATGTGGCAGTGGTACAGCCTGCACAAGACCCTGCAGGCGGATCCACAAGCTGGTAGTGCCCAAGAAAAGAAGATGGCACAGGAGGCGTTCTGCTCTGTGCGGCAGTGGCTGACGATGAAGGAGGAGGACATCAGCGTCAAGACACTGAAGCGGTTCCGGCAGTACATTCTCAACAAAGAGGTAGGTTTTATTTATTTCTTTTAAATGTGACTTTATTAAAAAATATATATCATGCTGGCAACATTTCATGCAAACTACAACCTGTAACTCACAGAAACCCCTAGAAGACAGGCCTCTTCCTGCAGCGGCGGCCAGCTCCAGCTCGTCGGGATCTAGAGGTGATGGTGGATGGGCGGATGATGCGCTACTGGTGGAAGCCCTCAGTGCTTTCGAAGCACAAGGTGTATATCACTTTAATTGTTCATGTACCATAGCATAAATCTTTTATTAATAAATAAATCAATTACACACAATATCAAAACACTGTGCTGATGAGATTGTCTTCTTGCTGCTTTGACACTGACTTTTGCCCATCTTGTGTTTTTTTTTCCTCCTTTAGCAGTTGAGGACAAAGGCGGTCTGCCGAAGAAACCACTCAGCTTCCCTGAAAGACAAGGTATATCACATAATGAATGTCACTTATTAACATTTATTCATACTGTTGTAGCATGAACTACAGCTGAGGGCCCTCCTGTGAAATATTTATTCAAGGTAATGGAGCAAGGACATGTTCACAGTACTTAGGATAGTATATTATCTTCTGAAGAAAGTTTTATTTGTTTTATTATTTATGTTTTTCTATTGGCTACAGAACAAACAGTGTTAAGCTAGTTAAGCCTTTACTTTCTCACGCTGAATATGGTAACACTTCAGTATAATAGTCCTTTAGTTAAATAATTTACTAACACTAAGTGTCGCCAATCTTGTGCAGCATTTATTAATTACAGTTCAACATTAATGCATTATTAAAATCCAAAGTTGTGCTTGTTGCACAGTGCATTATTGAACTAACGTTATTTAACTTAAATAACATCATTAACAAAGATAAATTAATACTGTAATTAATGTATTAAATTTCTTGTTCATGTTAGTAAATGCCTTAACTAATATTAACTAATGAACTATTACTCTAAAGTGTTACCCTAAAGGGTGACACTTTACAACAAGTTTGTATTAGTTAATGTCAAAGCATTTACTACCATAAACAAGCAATGAACAATATACTAAATACAGTATTTGTTCGTGTTACAGTCATCCATGCCAACTCACAGTCCATCAACTAAGCATTAAATATTATTTTAATAAAGCATTAGTACATGTTGAACTATGATTAAAAATGTTGTACAAGCATTGTTCATAATTAGTACATGTTAGTAAATACATCATCTAATGAAACCGTATTGTAAAGTGTGACCCAATATTATATACTGTCATCATGGTAAAGATAAATTATAAGAAATTAAGTTATTAGAACTATTATGTTTAGAAATGTGCCTGAACAAGTCCTCTCTCCATTACACATAAATTGTGAAAAATAAACTCAAATTTAACAGGGGGGCTTATAATTCCGGCTTCAATTGTATGCATTAATAAATAAAATTCAGGTCTACCAGGACAGTACAGGTGTGCTGAAGAGAAGGCGGGTAATGAAGTCGGACAGAATGTGGTTTTACCCCCCTGAACCTCCAGGCTACGTCAGCGGGACTGTGCCATCTCCAAACCTGTTCTTTCGGGGCCGCATCTTTGTCTGGAGACCAGTTGGGGTGTGGAGATATTCACTGAAGTGTCCCCGTGGTAAAGACTGTGTGGGTAGTGGAAACAAGGTGCACCTCTACAAGTCAGGATACCACACCAAGGTTTGTCTGTTTACATTTTGTATGATTTTTACAGCAATTAGTGCACTGCATCATATTTAGTTGCAATTAGTGCAACATATTGTACTTTTTTAAATGACATTTTTCAACAAATGTAAATTCATACACAGTTCAAATTACACAATGGTTTATCATGTTACAGGTTCGTTACATCTGTGATGTAGCCAACTGGTACACGATGCTGACTGAGGTCCTGTGCTGTGGGCCATGCACAAAGGAAGGCAGGAAAGGTGCTGGTGCCAAGGTGGGTCGTTGGTTGGCATGGCATCCTGAAATCCTTTGTCAGCTCAGTGAGGCTCACCAAGCCATGTTCCCTGCGATTTTAACACACAGGTAAGTAAACTGACAGGTGGCATATATTTAACATTTACCACAATAGCATCTGTTTTATCACACACTGATTATCACACTTTATAGGCGTGGTGTAGACAAGAGTGTGATCCGGCTTCTGCGGGATCGCACCGAAGGGAACACAATGATAAAAGTGTGGCGGCAGGTTCAGGAAAACCACGTGGAGGATTATCTCCACAGAAAGGACCTGTACACAACCCTCCTGATGACCCTGGTAAAACCCGGAGCGATTGTGTCAGCCTTTAGACACCAGTTTGAGGCTCCACCTCCTCAAAGAGAGATGCCTTCTGCTCACCTGCTTCGCCACGCCTTCCTTCTCGCTGAGGCCGAAAATGTGCAGGACTACAGAAGCCAGATTCTGTCCACTTTTGGCACAGTGCTGAAAATGGACTCCACTAAAAAGGTAAATACAGCAATATAGAACATTGTTAAAAATTTATAGATTTTTTTCATTAACTTACAATTATGTTGTTCCAACACCTGCATGACACTTGAGTGGTTAACAAAAACATATAGAGTAGAATGACAGATTTTGTCACTGTTCATTTAGGCCAGTGGTTCTTAAAGTAGGGGTCGGGACACCCCGGTGGATCATAAGACAATGGTGGAGGGGGGGGTCGCTTATGTTCTTCCAAAAATCAAATTAATTTTTATTAAACTACTAGATTTACCATGTTTTATCCATAACCTACAGAAGAAAAAAACAGTTACATGAAAACAACAACATGCAAATAAAAAGCTATCAGCCTTACCTTTTTTTGCGACCCCGGGGGTGGTTATGTAATATTAAAGACACAGCAGATTGATTTTAAGGCTGCCAGTCCCTAAGATTTTTGGTGGTAAAATCATTCAGATTTAGAACTACAGGACAGAATAACATATTCAAACATTCATAATCAGTCTATTTTAAACATATGCAGATTTTTAAATAAAGGTATATAATTAGCAGTATACAGAGATTAATTTACAGATAATAATATCCAGGCTAACTGAGTTTCTTATGTCTTGCAGGTGGTCAAGAAGCTGTCTGGGGAGGGTAAAGGCACAGCGGAGTGGTTCACCAGCATTGGCAATGAGTACTCACAAATAGTCTCATTTATTCTTACATGCGAGGAGTCCACTGAGTGCCTGAAGCCCATGTGTCAGGGAGTTATGGACAGATTCCAGCTGGCCAATCAGCCTGTCCCTAAGATCCTGTACGTTGACCGTGGCTGTTGTCGTGCACAGGGCCCGACAGCTTTGGAGTCATTGTTCAAGACATGGGTGGATGGTGGTATGGTTGTCCGTTTGGACATTTTCCATTGGATCCATCGCTTTGATGCTGCCATACGCACAGACAGCCACTCCAAGTATGCAGTGTTCAAGTCTGCCCTTGCAGGAGCGGTGATGGCCTACAACCGCGCAGACTTGGAGTTGCTCATCAAGGCTGTCAGAGCCAAGGATCCGACAGCTTTTAACAGAGTGACAGATGAAGATATGGTGCGACTGTATGTTTCAAGTGAACGGCTAAAGCACCATGTTCGGAGAGTCACTCTTGGAGCTCAGGAGACCTTTCGACTTGTGCAGATCGCCATCGATGAGCTCAAGGGTCCTGCTGGGCTGGACGAGAGTGGAGTCAGTCTCTTCAAGTCAACAGGTACATAAGCCTGTAAAAATTTTATCAGTACTTACAGTAATGAAAACAGCACAAAGTATATGAAGTACACAAAAAAGTCATCATCTGTATATTGGTCTATAAAGTACAACACTATTAGCATAAATACTGTATATAATACTGTTTATAACTGTATATAAGATTTTTTAAATATATATTTATAATGTGACATGTTGACTCATACATACATTATTATTACCTAACAGAAGCAATAGATAGTATGTGGGAGGCCCAGCAACGGCACCTGGAGTGCATGCAGGATCCTCCGGAGATGAGCATGTACAGAGTGGCTTGCAGCACCAGCATCAATGGGGTTGATGTGCCTTACTACAAGTGTCTTTGTGGAAGCAACAGTCTGGAGGGAATTCACAAATTTCTGCCTCACATGATACCAGGTGTGTTAAGCAATATGCTTTCAGTTATTCAGTCCATATCTTGAATACTATACTTAGCTGGTTAAGGAAACCAATCATACAGTTTGTTCACCTATAATATCCCTTGAAGGTGTTCTATACTTCATACTGTTTATTGCATTGAGTTGGAGAAAAAAGTGCAATTTTGTACATGTATAAAATGCTGTGACTGCACTTACTCTTTATTGTTACGGACACACCAAGGTCACGCTCCACACGGACACTCAGTGTCATCGTCTGGTCAACTAAATCAGTCTTAGACCCCTTCTTGTTCCTGTAAAGGATTCTTCAAGTAAGTTCGTGTGCTTTGTAGTTATTAGAGGCTTCCCTGCACGTCCTCTGGGCTAATCATTAC